CTCCGGCTCATGGGCATCCTGATATTTGGAGATCACTCCTCACTCCGATCCTGTTTCTCAGCTGGACAAATCGCTGACGAACCTATCATGCCCGCACGAGTGGGATTCCGGACCTATCCACGGATCAGGCACGCCAGGGCCGCGGTGAAGTCACTCATCGCCTGGAGCGGCACGACTAGGGACGAGCGGCGGAAGGGGTGGCTTTTGTGGGTGGAAGGTGAAGGAAAGCAATTGGTTTGTAACGGGGGAAGGGATCCAGAAATCTCTCCCTCTCTGGTCTCTCTCCGTACATTCTCTGGAATCATCATTTAAGACAAGTTTCCTCTACAAAAAGGTGGTTCAGAATGAGGATGAACAACGTATATATTGTTTCTTGGAGACAAGCGATTCTGCAACTTTGAAGTTTACAACATTGTGTCCCAAGAGGGATGGACGGACTCCAATAGAACAAAAAACAAACGTGGCAATGCCAAAATCGCAGCCAGCTATGGGCCTTCTCCTGTCTTTTCTGAACCCGGCCCCACAAAGCCAAAGAATAGTGCTTGCTATCCAGCAGATCCATGATGTTCCACGTCGAGGTGCTTGATGGAGGATAAAGGGTACCAAAACATCCCAAACATCTGCTTACTAGCCCACTGGATGGGTCTAAAGCCAAGCCAAAATTCTTGGAGTTGTCCCGGAAGCCTGGTGATACATCAAAACCAAGAATGACACAAAACTTCACTGAATATGAATGCTTCCAACACTAGGGACGAGAGTTTTCACCTAAGTCGCCTCTCAGCCCGACTGCCCTGCACCTCTTGTTGGACCAGTGCGCTTTGCCGAATCGCCAAGGAGGCCCTGGACTCCGTTTCCGCCTGGACACCGGCATCACCGGCAATTCTGAGGGCCCCAGGGGTGCCCTTTCTTCTGGAATCTGCAATCCATCGAAGTCCGCTGGCTTTGGATGTAATTGTTTGTTTAGTATGATCTTGGTTCCCGTATTCCTTCACCATTCTGCATGGTGCGAAGAAGCCCCCTGTGCGAAGAAGCAGTGCAACTGTCTCTCGCATCAACTCTTGGACTCGTTGCCGTATTTTTGTCCATGCAAAACATGTCTCTACCTAGACCTGCCGGAAGTCCGGAGATCCACAAGCAGTTTCTATTGGATACCCCGAGGCGAGTCCGCTGCGCACGGCACGGCTCCCGTGGCTCTCGACCGAAGCACGGCCTGCTGCTGGTACATCTGTCTCACTTGCTGCCAGCCTGGACATGTGGAGACCGGACGAGACGGTCTCCAGGGAACCGGTCCGCACAGAATCACCGGTCCCATGGGCCGTGGAAAGAAGGAGTTTTAACAAATCTGACCGACCTTGCATGTGTGAGGGGTCGGTGTTTTGGGGTGATTCTCTTGTGGGTGTGATGGCATGATATGCCATGTGTCACACAATGTATCGTTTTGGCCATGAAACACCACGACACCTTTGCAGAGTTGATAGGTGATGCAAAAGGGACAAATACCAGAGGCCGGTCAAAATGTGTCCCCTGAATAGTCCAGTGCAGCTCGCAACATGCCTCCAAGCAATGAAACACTAATTCCAGGTAGTGAAGACTTTGACTAATTGTGCACTTTGGTCGAGCGATGGTTCAATTACATCAATCAATCAAAAGAGCGATTTCTGCACAACTACCCCTCTTCAAAGAGAAGCTCCACCACTCGGGAGCGCTCCCCATGACTGGGCGTTTCAGAAACAGTCCGGCGACCGAGGCACTTGCAAAGGCCGTCTTGTAGCTCTTCATACGCGGCGGAGCAGGGCGGCTCTTCTTCCTTCAAGAAAAACATAACAAACGAATACAAACGATCTGTTAACACTTTGCTTTTTCATCAGTACACTGCTCAAAATAGCTCAACATGATACGCTATAGCGATCGTGTGCGTTTAATCTGTCAAAAGTGTGATCACCACCCGAGCAATGCAACGTCGGTCGGTCTAAGACCTGAGATGTGCCGTCCGGTCCGAGTGCTGGTCCCCCAGTACGTAGACTCGCGACACGGACGAACTGAAGATTTGTGACTTGGATGACTTGGCCAATCCTGCTTGGCTCTGCCCCTAAAGAACATGACACCTACACTAGATGATATCAAACCTCCGCGTTGAGCCTGGCAAAGTGCGCGCAATGGTGTGACTGGCCATCATGGCCATCACCAAAAATGAAAGAACACTTGCCCAGCATGTGTAACACGTACCAGTGAATATGCCAACTGAGGAGTCACTGAGTCAACCAACGGCAAAATGCCGTAAATTGCATTGAGGTGGTTGGGGATGGTTGGGGTAGGTTTTGGGGCTCTAACCATCTGAGGATGTGGTTGGAGTCCTAGGGCATTGTACCAGGGTTTTCAGGGTATGGGTCTGTGTCTTTGAGGTCTTTTTCGGTGAGCCGCGGTGTAGGTACTGGTGGCCCTGGTGCTTGCGTACCATCCACTGCCAAAAACCCTTGGAAACCGGAACGATCCCAAGGACTTAGCGCTATGGCGCTATGTCGCTGGTTGGCAACATCTCCTCCGCTTCCCATGCAGTCGTCATCGTGCCTGATGCAGTGGTTCCTGACCCTGGAAAACCGGTCGCTCCGCTCTCGCTCGCTCCCGTTCGCGCTGCTTCATCCCACGGTGGGCGCTTCGCGCTGCTTTGTCACGCCTCCTGGGAGCCTTCGGGGGTCGAAGCTCTTGGGGAACCCGAAGAGAGGCCGCCAGGAGAGTGGTGGGCCACTCTAGCTGCTGCGCTTGGCAAAGCCACAGGTGCTCGCCGTAGCATTGCCCAAAGCTGGGATCGCGCGGCTCTTGAGGGGGAAACGGGTCGGTGGAGAAACATGGACTGAAAAACAATGTACAACAGATTGCTTCAGTGGTCCTTACATCACGTGTTGGTCTCAAGCACTTCTTGGGGTTCGGTGGCAAGTAGTGACGCCCGTCATGTCAAGGGATAGCATGTCACTTGGCAAGTGATTATAAACTTTAAAAACTTTAGTAGCAACACATCATAGCATTATATCATGTCAAGTAAGTATAAACTTTAGTAAAGTGAATGCTATAATTAATGCAGTTTATGCCTTCCACAACACGGAGCCATCAACTGGAAACCACCCTGTTTGCCATGTACTGGTCCCAAAGAATGCAGTAGCTTGACCCATGTGCATTGCTCATCCAAAAAAAACAACATCAACAGCGGCACACTCCCCGAAATCATCCAGGTTACTTGGAGGACCATAGCCCCTTTCATGGATGACCTGATGACATCTGAGTGAATTAAATTAGTTTCATTAATTTCGTTCACCTCGTACCTCGTCTTAATTTCATGTTTTGAAATTATTCACCTCGCCTCGTTTAATTTCAATAATTTCATTCACCTCGTCTGCATTTGTTGGGGGGGGCTGAATGCCTGCCATGGCTTCCTGCACATCCAAACTGGTAATCGGGCCTATTTCTTGACAATAGGTTGTTTTTTGTCTTTGGGATTCTTGGGGCTCTCTGCCCTGCATGGGTGGAAGAATCCCTGTAGCTCCTGGAAACTACACCCAACAGTGGCCTCTACAAGCCCCAATCCCTTCAAGCATGCCTTCAAGCATGCTTGGGATCAAATCAGGCCTATTTCTTGGAAATAGGTTGTTTTTTTGTTTTTGGTATTCTTGAGGCTTCTGTGTGGCATGGTGAGTGGAGTCCCAGTAGCTCCTGGAAGCTATGCCCAGCAGTGGCCCTTACAAGCTCAAAAGCTTTGTCCTGCTGCTGTTGCTGGACTTACCTCGCTTATTTTCGTTTCGAAATTATTCTACCTCGTACCTCGTCAGGTGAGCTCGCCTTAATTTGCCCAGATGACATCTGATGAGGATCCCAAATCCGAAGACCAAGCAGATGGTCCCATCCACGTAACAGTTGATTCTTTCATTGGATCGTTCTCACCCGCATCCAGCTCCATCAAGATCACCCCGCCCTGCCCCCTCCTGTGGCGCGCGTAGGCCGCGGCGCGCAAGAGCTCGGAGGGCAGCGGAGAAGGTGGCAGCTTCTGCGGAATCCGTTGCCGCTCCTGGCATGGCATGAAAAAAGAAGCACGTAGAGCTCTACAATATTCTACAGTCAGTCCAGGAAGCCGCAGAAAGAAAGACATCTTCTCCATGGTGGGGTTTGATCGGAACATCAGCATCACCCGAAGCCTGCAAAACTAGGTACACCAGGGACCACCAAATGATTCAAATTTTGATCAATGATCCAGGATGAGACCCCACTGAGAGGAGATATAGGCACCCTTTTAAAGGGGCCTGCTAAAGAAGACAACGGTTTTTTCTGTGAGTCAAAGAACTAGACATAGTACATAGTGAACCCAAGAACAAGGCTTCCTTCTACTGGAGAATTTCATGAAACACCTGTTAAAGTACGTATATATAACTATACTGACCACAACAAAGCACTAGCTAGTTCAAAAGTCACTACTGTATATGATTTTTGCAGCCTCAAACCATGGAACAACAAGATATGTCCGAACTATTCGAATTCATACAATATTGCAGGAGAAAACGCGGCGGTCAAATCTGCATGTCGCCATGATCATGTCGGAGAAGGAGCTCTCATTCTTGGAGTGAGAGTCTGGTCAACAGCAACACATACGGCGCCACGTCCCGGGTGTATCCGATGATCCAACGAGGTGACAAGTTATCCAATTGAAGTGCATTAATGGTCACTTGGATCTGCTCAAGGTACCTCAATGAACCCGTCTGCCCCTGTAGATTGTTCAGGTCCGGCAACTTGACAACCAAACGAATCCAATGACCCAAACAGTATATTGGTTGGTGGTGAACACACATCAGTCGGTGGGTTCAACCATCTCAAGTAAAGCTCACTGCTTCAGATCGCCACTGCCATGGGCGTGGCCAAACTCCAGATCGCGTGGTTTCTAAGGTACCATTCCAAGCTGAGGATCCAACATGTTCTTTGGGTTGAAGTTCATCTCCTTCCATCGGATGACGCTCGATTCACGCTCTCAGTGCACGCTTGCCCGGCGGCAAACTCGCGCCCGCCTGGCGCTGGAAGTGTTGCCAGCTGGCAAATGCCCACTGACTCGCCCAGTGGGCGTGCTGCACACTGGCCGGCGCCACCTCCTGGGCAGGCGGAACCCGCGCGGCGGAACCCGAGTCGGATCAGCGGATGCGGTCGCGAGTGGGAGATGGAGTTGGATAGGTGGTCGAGGTGTGAGGTGTTTGCAAAACAAACAGTATTGAGAGAAAACACGCTATCATGGGCTATCTATGCATTATCTGCTTAGTAGTCTGAGTCTTTGGTTTAAAACCTTAGTGTATCAACGGTCTACTATACATGTAAGGTCAACTGTCTACGTAGAAACTCCCAATTACCCAATTGTTTCGGACTGGACCTCGGTGTCGAGCCATGCGGTCGTCACACCACAGCCAGGCTGCGTCTTCCGGTGATGGATTGGGACCTTAGGGACCCAGGCTATCAGCCAGGCTGCGACCCGTTTCAAACCCCCGTGTTCGTCCATAGGATCCAAGTGCGGCATAGACCCGTTGAAACGGATCCGTTTTCCTACCGAACCTCAGGTACGGTGATGTGTTCGACACGGTTTTTGAGGTTTGGAGGGTCCAAGTACCTTCTGAGAAGGTACTTGGATCCCTAGGGTATATATATATTTATACATACTTTTTTCACCAGGGATTGATGACCATCTCCCCGAAGGAATCCAGTCTCCTCCAACTGTTGGCACAGCCAGTGGCAGTCGCGAGCCTTAAAGGGACCGAGGGGAGGCCAAGCAGGGTATAGACGGAAGATGGCCGAAACATGTTGAAACACGGCGAAGATTGTACTTTCAGGCACGTTCCGTTTGACCATGCAACATGTATTCCAACTGTCTGGATGGCAGAAATCATGCAGCACCTACAAAACCCATTGTTTTACTTTACAGGGTGAACTGCACATCTCAGTTCGTGCACGATATCTTCCAATGTTATTAAACCAACACATGAGATGACATGCACGGACACAGTTCCAAAAACCTGGGAGTTCGGTCCAGTCTTGCAAAGCTGATGAAACGGGTGGGCGTCTCCTCTAAAGTCTACCCCAATCCTGTCCGGGGGGAAAACACTTGAAAGTCGGCATCTTCTTCCAATGACACATGCTTTGGCTTTGGGGGTCAATGTAGTGTCTAGGACAGGGATGTGTAGAACACAAGACATGTTGATTTGCAACCCCCATGTCTACCTCCAAAGAACATATCGACCAAGGGGACTAGTTAGGGGGAGTCTCCCTGTTGACATACCACACGCGTCCATTAGATTCATTTGTCAAGGAAATGGATACGACCAAGTCGCGGAATTGGCATGGGAGCCGAGCTCTTCCCAAAGCCTGGCAGAAGTGGCAGCCACACTGAGGAAGGATCCACACAGCAAACGTTGCCTCGGGCGTGCAGGAGAGCATCGAATCGTTGACCGGGCACTACCGGGTATGAGTGACATGGAGGATGAGTGACATTCGGACATCCCCAGTCAATGAAGTGGTTTAAGGATGTTTAACATCGACAGAACATGTCCCATACTGATGAAAATTGTGTCCTCAGCCTGCACTCCAGCCCAGCTTTTTCAGCGATATGCAGTAGTCCCAGCTGGATCGAAGGCAATCTTAAACAAAAGGTGGCATGCATTCAGGAAGCTTCCATGTGAAAAAACGGAATGGCACATTGCACACGATTGCGTTGCTGGCTGCAACACTTGCTTTGTGAACCCATCACCTGCCCATAGCCCATAAGGAAGGACTGGGCGAAGCCCTTAAGTACTAGCCAAAAAACTTACGAAGGTGGGAGAGCACAAGCTGTCGTGATTGATCTGCTTTCTTCCAAACACTTCGCGGGACAGAAGATTGTCGAAGCAGCATCAATCCAGGTTTGCGATACCGATTGACAGACTGCACTGCTTTCCACCTACCACGCACTTGGATTTCCTTGAGAGACCTTTCTTGGTGAAAGGCATCATGCGAAGCACCACTGTGTCTTAACATGTGGGGACACAGATTCAAGTGACCTAAAGAAACGGCAGAGGCAGCTTGTTTGATTTGTTTCTCATACTGTTCAAGAGATAATGTACCAAACAACATACCGTCAGCAGAACAGGCATTCTTAACCAGAAGGCTCGCAACCTGATTGACATCAGGTCGTGCTGTTGTGTCAAGAAAAACGCATTCGTCAAACTCACCGTTCTTCGCAGGGACTCCATCATCTGAAAGGCCTACCATGACCCCCCAACATTTCTGACGACGACAAGGCTTCAACATATGTCGCACTGTTAGCTCCAGCAGTTCAGATGGACGAAGGTAGGTATCACCCTGCAAAATGATTGCTGCTGCAGTGAAAAAGTTTCCAACTTCACAAGCTGACAGTGCCACAAGATCCCAAAGCACGAGGTCAACTCCTGTGCGTGATTTACCTGGAAATCTGGCTTTCCAACCCTTCAAGGCTTGACGAGAGATGGGAAACTTCTCTCTGTCATGCATGTGCCAAGAAGACGGGCTACGAAGCATGATATATCCAAAAACTGCATACGATGCCTCAGTCAGAGAAACCCCTTCCCAGCAAAGCTCGTGGATATACCTGGACATGGCTTCATCTGTGCGAAGGTGACTGCCAAGAGACTTATTGTTCAGCTTGCACCACGCGACAAATTCAGAGGCTGATCTATCATACACCTTCAATGTCTTAGGCTTCACTTTGGAGCATTGCAGGATGCGGTTATCCGAGACAACGACTGGCAGATGTAATGGATCACGCTTTCTTCTTTTGACGGGCTCGAATTTTTCTGGCTTTTCGCTGTGCGATTTCCGCTTTTGAGTGGTGCCCGAAAGCAACTTCATCGAGGAGACCTGGGATCTCCGAGGTGATTGGAAACTGCTTGTCTTGTTCTGTGCAAGTCTTTGGTGCAACTGACTGACCACGGCATGGCTTGAAGACTTGGCCAAAGTCTGGGCCAAGCTTTTTCTTATCATGTGTTCTCACCAACGGATCATCCCTAATCACTCGAGCCCACTTATTGCAAAGTGAAGGTGGATATGCACCAGCAAGAGTGGTTTTATTGGTCCATCCATATGTTGGAGACCACGTGCGGCCTTTCAAAACTTCAGCATGCTTATGGTGTGGACACGTGGCAGCAAGGCTAACAAGGCTACTGCAATTCGACAACAACCGTGTTGGCTTTTTGAAGGGTTGCCCATAAACACACATTGGAAAGTCAATCACAACGGCATCGGGAAGCCCAAACAAATCTTGGATACAATCGAGACTCCAAATCCTAGAAGACTGGGGGTTTTCGATGCTCCACTTGACATCCAGCTTGCTGCACAGTCTGGCCAGTTCACAAGAGAAAAAAGCGAGTTCACAACCTATCCTCTCATTGAATCTAGCTTTAGTGAAGTTTTTGATGCCACGCCTAGCTCTGGAAAAGACTGTGCAAGGCGTACCCATATGAAGGTAGTCGACATGACCATCCACAATCCATTGTCGCACTTGCCGTTGCACTGGTTCAATTGTGAGATCAAGGCTAGGATCTTGTTTGATGTCCAAAGGCGTATGCACAAACAGCCTATGACTTCTCATAGCTTTGGACAAGTTTCCTTCACCCGAGAACAGCTCCCAGAAGACTTTCACCCCCTTCGCCTTTTTTACACTAGTGCTGGAAGAAGCCGGACGTCCATGGTCATTGCATGCACCGCTGGCAGGATGCCAGGAACTCATCTTGGAATCACAGGTGCTATTTTTGGCCATATGATGGACGGCAGTCCAACCCAACCCAGGCGGAGGCACTAAGGCATCAAGGGATAAATTAGTCTTGCAACGAGCGGACACACTAGGGATCACTGAAGGCTTGCTAGGACTGAAGACAGGCTCTGCTAAAATCACATGTGGGTCAGGGACTGGAGTCCTGAACCACTTTCCTCTGGAAGGTGCATCTGCTAAATTTCGCTTTGTCTCAAGATGTCGGATCCTCCACTTTATCTGAAGCGCGTTTTGTATGGCAGCACTAGACTTACACAGCCTATTCAACGCAGCACTCGACGACCGCCCTTTCTCAAAGGCCAACACAGCACTAAGGTTGTCAGAGAAAGTTAGCTTCTTAGTGCCACATTGCGACGACACCCTGGCAGCTCTCTTCAATGACGACAAAAGCACCCGACCTTCCTTGATATTGATGTGTTCATCGGGATTCCGCCATTTGCGCATCCAAAGCAACTTGTATGAACCTTCGCTCACCATATCAGAAGGAATTGGTTCCACCAATGCCGGGACCTCAACATCCTCACGCCTCTTTCTAACAGCTTTGAACTGGGAAACAATCGGACTTGTCTGCAACCAATTTCCGTCAACCAAAGCTTGCTGAAGCCAAACTCCATACTCAGTGTTGGGCCCCACTCCGGCTCTGACAAAGGCCTTGATGTGCTCACGGCTTTCAACCTCACCCCGATTACCAGGCCTGTTAAAAAACTCAATGGCAGATTTGAAGTCATCAGGCATTGGGATGAACCTCCATTTCTCACGGACACGAGCCACTTCCTGGATCTTAACCTCAGCAAAACTACGAGTCAGCATGGCATATCCAGAAGTCGAGGAATCACCCATATCAACCTGGTTGACAAAGCTACCATCAAGCTTGGCTCTTGCAAACCAAAGGAGTGAGGAGGCTTGCATGATCTCGGCACGCACTGCTGGCCAGAGCCGAACCCTCTTCCCACGGCACACTGCATTGAATCGGTAAATCACCGAAAAAACTGACAGCAGGGAAGGAGAAAGTCGGAAGAGAGATGTTACATGCCCCGTCCAAACTTCAACAGCATCACCGCGAACCTTGGTTCTACGACACAACTCTCTTCCAGCAAGATAGGCTTTCCACAAGCGGTTTGGTTTATTACGGACAACTCGGTTGCGAAAATCAAGAATCACGCCGACTGTTTCGAAACACTGCAGAGGCTCCTGCTGAGTCCAGACAACTGGTATGTCATGGTTTGCAAATGCTTTGGTGAGGGAATCCATGCGAGCGATCACATCAACCTTGTGGGCACCGAAAACTGCGACATTATCAACATAGGTGGAGGTAATGGTCTCACCTTCCCAAAGTTGTGGCGTTGGCAGCTTCTCACGGCACTCCAGTGGTCGCTCAGGTGCAGTCGCACGGGCTATCGCGGCGACCGTTTCGTTAGCAAAGAAGAGAGCCCACGTCCATCCCATGGGCATTGCACCAATCACAGGGTATACCACTGTATCATCGTTTAGCAGAACCATGGTCTCCAGGTCTTCATCGTAAACTTCAGTGATGTCAACACCTGCCTTTGCCCAATCTGCAGTTTTGCGGGGATCATCAATGCCGAACCACTTGGCAAGCTGTTTCATCTCAAACTGATAGAAGCAGTCGGCTACATCCAACTCGGCCCCCCATCCAACTTGATTGCAGTCGCGGCCAAGTCTGGCCTTCAACACTTCGGGACTCATCTCAAGATCGCCGAAACACGAAGGACTGCCGAGTCGGGTGACCGGTGGCTGTCTATGATGCACATTGCTAATCCGACAGTCAACTACCATGCGAATCCACTCTGGCGTTTTCTTCTTCACAAAAAACAAGCCGATGGATGATTTGATAGATGTTCGAAACGTCACAACTCCAACCTTCCACAGGTCAACAATCAACTTGGTTCGGACATCTCTGGACTTCTGCAGAATAGGATCCCAATAAGGTCTCTTAGGGCAACACTCAGGCGATGCATCCAACTTAGATCGAACCTCTTCGGCTGAAAGCTCAATGTGAGTTTTCCACCTGTTGAGAAGTGGAATCACAGGTGGAGGCAACAGCGTCTCGATGGGTTTCGGCCGACCTAAAGAAAAAAGAATCTTCAGCTTCGCAGCATCAAAAGGTGCGAGAGTGCTGGGCTCCCCATATGTGGGGTGGGATTTCATCATGTCCTTTAAGGCATCACGCCCACACAAACTAGGACATTCCCCTGCTTCGGCGACCGCTGCACCTGCATTGTCAACAGCCACACTCTGAACAGCAGTCAAGGGACGATGAAATAGCTGACTTGCATCATTGAATTTTACACCTGCCAGTTTGTTCAAACCAAAGAGGGAATCACGTACCAGCGTGGGCTGTTCAGCAATGGCGCCACCCGGAATCGGAAAAACAAAACCATGCCGCCTCTCCTGTTCCAGTGTTTCGCCAAAATGCCTCATGCACTGAATGCCAAAAGTCATCTGTAAGCAACCCAAGTCCAGTCCCCCGACCCAATATGCCACAAGGGCAGTGACAAAGAAGAGCTAGGCAAAGGGCCTGGACGAGGGTGCAAGGCAGTCAGAGAAGACGGAGATCGAATTCAGAAAACAGGGTGGCAGAAGGTTTGTTATCCACCACCCAATTGCCAGGAACTTAGGAGCCACTCGCGGGGGCATCATTACTTAGTGGTTCAATTCCAGTTATCCTACTTGGGTTACTTATATTTCAAGATAAGTATACTTAAGGGTTACTTATAACAAGTGTACTTACTGCACTTATAAGTAGAACCTAAGTAGGAACTAAGTAGGTTATAAGTAGAACCTAAGTAGGTTTTGTTTTGTTTTTTCAATTTTGATTCTTGGAAGTTTTTGCAAGAACCAACACATGAAAACAACTTTTTTTCGAAGAAAATGTAAGACCGAGCACCATGAGCGGGCATACCGCTATCAACTTAGTTATTTATAGTTATTTATATTGGGGGCAATGGCAATGCAAATGATTTCAGTGGGTTTTACAACAGTTCCTGGTTTGTGTGTTTTTGTTTCTTTTCTTTCAGCGCGTTCAGACGAGCGTTGAGTCTCAACTAGTCAATGCAGACAGATCCACTCAGAGTAGGCACCATGATCTCTCTTTCGCCACCACCACGGCACCACGAAGTTTTCAGCCGGCTTGCAAACACACTGAGCTCCATCTCGCCAAACGCTGCCATAGGGATGCTGCGATACCTGGGTATATTGTTGTGCATCCATCCGACGCGAAACATACATCGTGAATATAACATCCTCTATAAAAGGAAACAAACCACATGAGCGGGCGAACCGCTGGAGAAAAGAAAAAGGTTTGATCCAACAGCGCTGCAACACAGAATGTATAAGAATGCAACCACAACAAAATGTTTCAACCAGCTACAGGAAATAGTTTCCTCAGCACAAAGTGAACTCCGTCTGCACAATAGAAGGCCAGAACAATGCCCCCAGCGCGAGACTTTGGCCACAATACCACGTCATCTGTGGAGAGCGTTAATGTTCCCACACGAGCGCATGCTGACAAAATTCGTTCACTTAGCTTGGTTTAACTTGGCTGTTGAAGGTCTTCAATTATACCCGGCACAGACTTAATTGGAAAGTAAATAAAACACCTTGACAATCAAAACCGGGCACTGGCAGCCATTGGAGTGCACGGGCTCAACAATAGGCGACATTGCATCTCGCCAGCTTTCTTGATGGGCGGCAAGAGTGTCATCTCAGGGCACAAAGGAGATTCATTGATCTGTTGAACTTGTGTAGATAAAATACGTTTCACAGCCGCCCAGGCAATTCCACCACCTCCACCTGACGACTTTTGCTTGAGCCTGGGCGCAAGGAAACTCTTGTAGACCTGATGCTTCTTCTCCTGCGGTTCGCAAGAGATACATCTTCCACAACTCATTGCAGAGTCTGCTATATGGAACCTTGCGTGATGCTTTGGCCTCGATGAACTTTCATATGCTTGATTGAATAAGTCCTGATGCTTGCATGCTGCTGCTCGCATTTGCGACACATCTCTCACTTGCTCTTCATGCTTCAACATGGACATCTCCCTGTGACAATTGCACAAAGCAAGGAAAGATGCTGCCTCACCTGGCAACAGTTCCTGCCTGCGGAGGAAAATTTCAACGTAGTAAGCCATCAAGGACAGGAGGGACTTGGTTTGGGCAGCGTTGCCTTTGTATACATCGCCAGCCAAAAGCTTCTCATGGAAAAGCAGCTTTAAAAGCGTCGGGCTCCTAGTGGCTCCAAAACCATGACGAACCCAACCAGCTTCCAAGGCTGCTGACAACAAATTGTCTTTGTTGAACGGCGTTCCGCCTTCCATGGCTTGAAACAGCAAAGACAGCTCAACATTCACAATGCCACACGAATAGTAGCAATGCATGGGGTCATAGAGGATTCGGCTTGGAGGAAGAATGGATCGGGTGCTTTTGTCAAACCAAATGCAAGCTGGTTCCAGATTTAGGCCAACCCTTTTTTCCAGGTCTTTCAACTGGCCCTTGCCAAGGCGGTTTCCTTCCTCCACCAAGAAGTCGATTCCTTGGAACACTTCCTCGTCAGTGTTTTTGTCGAAGCAGTCTTCCTTTGCCGAAGCGATGTCAAGGAAGTAACCATCATCATCGTACTCAAGCAAATCTGTGTTCTTTTTGATGATGTTTCTGCAATGTGGGCATGGACGTAGTCCTGCACTTCCCTTCAGAGCGAAAGATGCCCTGACACTATCCAAGTCGCCATTGAAAAAAAACTTCCCCAACTTGCACCAGCGCATTCCGTCCTCAAATTTGATTGAAAACCCGTGACGGTTCTGTGCGTACATGTGTTCGACTAAAACTTTGAGTACGCCAGCCATTCCTCCAATCACAGCATCAACATCACCATGAAGGACAAAGGCCAATGGTAGCCAAACCAACTCAGAGGACAAAAGGCAGCCCAGCTCGCAGAAGCTAAGGTAGAAGAGGCTTGCCTTCATCTTGTTTATTGGTAGCAGCACATTCAGAGGCGTGCATTCATCTGAATACAGAATGGGGCTGAGCGACCACTTGCTATCCTTCAGCCCTCTCTGCAAAGCAAGCGCAAAGCTTGGACATTCTTTCACTACAAGCTGCAGCAACTTCTGGACGTTCGCCACTGGAAAAGGAATGGGTTTTTGCTTCGTTGGGTCCTTTGGGGTGAGATGCAAAGGGTCAAAGCAATCTGAAAAAGGTCCCAAATGTTCCTTCACCTCCTCCAAGAATTGTTTCGCTTTTTTCTGCTTCTTTTCAGTGTGTAGGTGGTTCCATATCTGAAAAACCGCCTTCTCAGAAGCTCCAGGGACACTGAGGCACTTCTTGAGCTTGGCATCCTCTCCATGCCCTTTTCTTTTCATGTCCAGGCGTGCTCATGACGCACTGAACTTTTCAGGGGCAATCATGCGCTCAACTGGCTTTGAGCGCGCTGGAAGCAAGCAAACATGGATTTGGAACACCTGGATTGCCATGAGCGGAAGGACCGCTAGCTGTCGAACACATCCACTGGCCAACCCCAGCAAACATTGATGTGGAACACCTTCCTTGCCATGAGCGGAAACACCGCTAGATGATGCGAGCAGGAACACCGCCCATACACATACAAGATGAACACTTGCCCTCCACAAGCGAAAGGCTAAAGCAAATCATTGCTTTGTGCGGTTTTCCACCTTTCCATCCAGGTGGCATGAAACTCCCAAGTTCAAGATGCAGCGGGTCTCCAATTATTTTTGGGCGAGGACTGAGGCCTGCTTTCTGTGGCTCCTCAGCCAATCGACAAAACATTGGATGCAATCGCAAAACATATCATGTTGACTGTCATCCCACAAAGGAACCAAATCTTCCAGGCTATCTGTGTCGCTCTCACTTTGAGCCATGGTCAATCTGGGCATGATTTGCCCAGCTGAGGCTTCCTTCCTCCTTTTCGCAGTCGTGTCCACATCTATAGAGGCGCCCCTTTTTGTTCGTTGTCCTTGCTCGCCGACAACTTCAGGGGGCATCACAAGGCAGCGCAAAGAGGAAAAGTTGCAAGTATCAATCAGCCCCTGACCTCACTTGTCTGAAAATATGCGGGAACTTAGCATTAACATGAGGAGGGCTTGCAACATCATTACGCTTAACTCGTCCACTCCAAATACAACTCCATGAGCGGAGACACCGCTGAGAACATGTCTTGTTTCTCTTCCACCAAAGGTTCACCAAACCTATTGAGGGGGCTTCAAACTATACAACTCCATGAGCGGAGACACCGCTGAGGACATGCTTTGGTTCTCTTCCAGGCTTCAAACATTTCACTACAACTCCATGAGCGGAGACACCGCTGGGAACTTTTTTCTCTTCCCCCCAAGCTTCTTCAAAGTTCAAATTTTCTTGAAAGAACGCACGGTCGGAAACGACCATGTTTGCAACGCATGGATGGATGTGCACAGATCCATTCCAAAACCCCCTAAGACTTCGCCTTCGCCTTTGGCTTTGGCGCAGTCTTTGGCTCCCTGCGCCTCCTCTTGGGCTCTGTCTCACCTTCAGGCTGGTTCGAGGAGGTCTTTTCCCTGTCAAGTTTCCTCAAGCGTTTCACTTCTTGCTTGTAGTTCGTCACCTGAGCTATTGCGGCCTTGATGTCTGCTTGGCATTCCGCCAGAGTCCAAGGCAGCGGCAGGACATCAACTCCTCGAGTGACCCGGGATATTTTCT